TGTAATAAGTTGGGGATAGAAACAATATGGTTTTATCAAGTTGATCCTAGATGGGAATGAAAATTTCTCAATATTATATTTTCATAGCTTTTTGTTATTTTTAAAATTATAGTCCTTAACTTCTTAAAAGTTTGTGAACATATTTATTTGTATGTGAAGTAGACTTTATTTTCTGATAGGTTTTGTGGGGCTTTAAGAGTTGTGTTTGTTTTCATAATTATTAAACTTGTTATGGTGATCTGTGATCACTGATTATGACCTGCTGAAAGTTCAGATGATGGTTAGCATTTTTTTAATCACTAAAGCAGATTTTAATTAAGGTAAAAATAAAATAAAAAAATAAAAGTTGTGTTTGCTTTGAAGAACATAAATTTCATAAATTCTGAAAAGATACATTAGAACCCTAGGAGTATATAACATTTTGCGCTTGCATTTCTGTTTAAGGTGGTTGAAAAAAAATCAGATTCAGAATATTATTTACCAAATAGAGAAAAGAAGACCAATCTTCTCTGGTCCAACTGTATAAATTATGCATAATATTTAAGAGCAAGATCTGGTTTCCATTTTAGTTATTGATTCGAAATAGAGCATTTTGGCATCAGATATGTAGACAGCAGGCATTTCCTGTACTTAATTTATTCCCTCATAACCAAGAAGCAGCTTGATGTAGACAGTTTTATGTGAGGTTTGTCACAGATCCTGTGTGTGCTTTGGAAATGTTTCACATTTCATTAAGTTTAATTCAGTTTTCTGTATGATAAAATATGGGTAAATACATTCTTCCCAACAATATCTTGGAGACTTTATGCTGTGGGTAATAAATTTGTGAAATTTGCTTTTACTTCCTTGAAAGGGATTGCTAGGCAAATAAAATATTTGCCTAAATCTGGCAAGTAAATGTCTTTCTTAAATACTTATTGACACTAGTCATGATTCCTTTCTCTAAGAGATGCTGCAAAGGAGATGGTGAAAATATAGCAGGTTCCAATTTTAATGATTTACTAGTCTTTGTATTTATGACTTTTGGGCATAGGCAGAGAAATTATAGAAACTCACAGATTAAGATTGATATAGGATTAATGGAAGAAGGTACAAGGGGAGGTTAAAAAATAAATTTTATATAATGAATAAGTGAATAAATTGTGACATTTGTTGAGAGCAGTGAATGTATAGAGAACTCTTATAGACAATTTACTGAAGACAATAAATGGCAGGAACTAGTAGTAGCACTGGGTGGTGGGACGTGGCCCCCAAATTCTGTTAGGTACCCTTGGCCACAGGTGAGTGGCATACTCAAAGTAGAGTCCAGGTTTTCTTGGGAATGGAATAAATGTCACACTGTCTTGGCTTGACCAAGACATGGCTTGACCTTATAAATTTAGTCTGCTCTTAGGTAAAGTAAGTGAAGAGAAGGTAGACATTTCTAGCCAACACAAATAATTTCTTAAGGATTATCCACCACAAGTACTTGTTGCTCTTTCCATGCCAACTATTTGGGGATGGTGGTATGTGTGATTGGGGTGGGATGGGCAGGAAGAAGGCAGCAGCTATGTTGTAGGTGGTAACCAAGCAGAGTCAGCTTTGGCAGAATAGAATTCAGTGATAGAGTGTAATTTGAAATTAGAGAAATTCCTCCATACCAAACGTATGAGCAGTTCAGTGCCTCTGCATTAGAGACTTTGGGTTAAAACGTATCTCTTGGAAATTGCAGTACTGATAGCTCTGGAAAATATAATATTTTAAGTCATTATAAGCCACTAATGTTGATGCGGTTGGTTTATTAACCATCACCAGTTGGTCCTGGAGTAGATGGAATATAGGATGACGTTTTTAGAGAGAAAATGAGTCGTCCGATGTACGGGAGAACTGTGTGTGGGAGACAAACCTATGGGGAAATCAAATGGTGCATGTAGGTGGGGGTGGCAGGGTGGCATTGCAACATGAGAAAATCTGATTTCTAGAAAAGAAAGAGGCTGGAATAGAGAAAAAAAGTTCGTGGAAGATGTGGATAAATGGCTGACGCCCCCCATGTCTGTTTGTTTGTTTGTTTGTTTTGGCAGAGATTGTTTTGATAGATTTTTAATAAAAGAGAGATTAGCTAACACCTTTTACAGCTCTAAAGAAAGGAGCCCATTTGTGGAAAGCAGAGCAGAGTACTGGGAGTAAGAAATGCTGTAATCATTCAGGTTCTCAAGTTTGTTAAGTCACAGCTGAGTGTTTCTCTTATTCTCTTACTCTAGGATCCCACAGTGACCCTGGGAGTTGCTTCGTATCTATTAGAACTAAGAAAAATTTTTAATATTGTTTAGAAGGATCTGTGAAGGGTTATATTATTAAAAATAAAGTTACCTAATTCCTAATTGGAAGATTTCCATGCATCTCTCCATTTTTTAATTATATTAGTGGTATCTTTGTTCTATAGCCACCTCCCACTCTGTCCCAGGCAAACACAAACAAGCAAATACCTACTTATTACCTAAAATCACCAGGCCCAAACTCTTCATTTTCTTATCACAGTTTATTGTTGTACATATGAGGTACCATGCTACTATCAGAATTATATTTAGGTTTTTTATTTTAAAAAACTCAGAGAAAAAAATGTTTCCAGTAATTTTCATTCAATGTGAATGACAAGAATATCATAGCTATAAACATTGAAATAACCATTTCATTTCTTCCTGAGGAAGTTCCAGTTTTAAGCAATGAAAAAGGAATTCTATACAAAGCTAGTTTTAAGTCACATTAGCTCTCATTCTTTTCTCATAAGCATTTATGTTACTTTTAGACTATCTTAATAACCAGCTGGAGTATATAATGTAGAAAGTATGTATGTCCTCTAGAATTTGATGTTGCCTCCAAGATACATTGAATGGTCAAAAATCCTTTCAAAGGTCTGCTACTATAGATAACATAATGCCTGTCCTGTGAATGAGTAAATTTTGGTATGATCTTTTCCTTTTTCTTTCATTATACAAGCATCCAGTATGTTTTTTAACATTTATCTTAGAGGGTAGGCTGTTCACTTGACTCAGTTTACCTAGACAAAATTATGCCATGAGCAGCTTTGTTTAGAAATTTAAATGCACATCTCATCATTAAAACACAAATGTATCAGTTTTTTTTTCTTTTTTTTATCAGTAGAAATGTTGTCAAAATAAAAACATGACACTGTATGTAACTGCTGGGGCTTACTCTCACTATGTGTGCCCCTCTTAAGCCAGTTTTCTTAAATTAGTGGAGATGAAAGACTACATTCATTTTCCTATCATGCTGGGCAAGTGCTGCTTTAAAAAAGGCAGCAGTAAGCATGAAGATTGAGTTCACCATATTTGTCCAAATGACTTTGATTTTGCTTTTACAGTAGGGGTCTTAAAAACTTGTTCTTTCTCCAGTTCTTTTGGCTATTAGCTTGTTTGTTTAAAACATTGTATCATTTGGGTACATAAAACTTTAAAAAAAAATTAATAATTATAGTGTGATTTAAAAAATTTATAGTAATGGAAGGATCTCAAAATTTGTTTTCTAATTAGTGAATGGTTGATAGAGTTTAGTATCACACATTATAATGACAAAGAAAATATTTGGGCAGTAGCTTTTCCTTGCATATTTTTTTTCCTGATCATACTTTTGATAACATTTTATAATGGCTTATGTAATCATAGCAGGGAATTTACTACTTAATTTTTTTATGTGTACAGTGAATTTAAAAATTAAGTAAATGTAAGCATAGGACAATAAGTATGATTCTTTTTTTAATACTTTATTAATCATATGATCAATTAAAATTTAAGTTAAGGAATCATGTCTGGCTCATCTTTGTACTTCCTCCATTTAATTTGGTAGATAATCCCTATACTTAACTATGTTTTATTGTCTTCCATAAGAGAATATACAAAATATTCTAAAAAAAAAATGGGACGCGGCCTTGACTTATTTTCTTCTGCCTTATATTAAAAGTATCATGGGAAATATGAGACTAAAAATCATATATCAATTTGTTTTTTGTTATAAATCTCTACATTACACAATTTCATTTTGAACTATCTGGAAAAATGTAGTTTTTCTATAATTTAAATATGAATAACAACATATCATCTAGAGACACTGTGCTTAGTTTTCATTTAATACTTCTTGTTCTGGAGAAAATTTAAAAAAAAAGTTATTTACTTTTAAAAGTCAGTATGTTTCTGGAGATGACACATACCTCACATTCTATGTGAGTGTTTCTGTAGAACCAGTGAGGACTATTGGAGTAGATTTGTAGCTCACAAAAAGGATATAAATTGTCAATGGTATATCTTCAGACCCCTACAATTTCTCCCTTTTAGAGGATTTCGTGAGTACACTTTACTATTTACCGTTTTAGTATACTCAGCTTGTTTCCATATACCTTTTGATGGCTTTACAACATATCTCAGTATAGCAATTACATTATGACAAGAAGTTAGTAATTTTTACATAAATGCACTAGAGTATGTGTATGAAAAATCACTTTTTTCTTTGCTATAGCACTTACCTTTTTATTTTGATGCAGATAAACCTCATATATAACTTTTCCACTCTCTGATCTAGCACAAATTGTAATTTACAATTCTTTCTAAATATTCAGTGGATTTATATCTTGGCAAGCATTTTTCATGGGTATTATGCCTTTGGCATTTTATGCTACATTGTGATGTTTATTTTACTTCTTGTTTTGTAGGACACTTTATAGAATGAAAGAATAAGAAAACATTTTACAGGCAAACAGTGGTCTAAAAATCTACAGAGACACAATCTTAGTTGATATATAAAAGTGTAAATATTACTATGAAATGGAGCAATTCTGCATTTGCGTCTGATACCTATATTGGTTGCAGTTGACTTCCACATGAATGCACAGTAGTCTACAATAATCCCACAGGCTCAGATATGGATTAAGAGAAAGGCTATAGGCCTCAAGGCTTGTAACAGGTATGTTTTCTTTTTTTTTCTTTCTTTTGTTTTTGTTTTTGTTTCTGTTTTTCTAATCATCCACATGCCAGCACATGGAAGGAACTTTGTTCTTTTTTTCTCATTTGAAGAGGTATATTTTTAAACAGCCTTTTGGTAGCTTCTGGAAGCTTTGGGAAAGGTGAATGTTACATGGCAGATGGGCTCTCAAGAAGTTTTCTCAGTGCTATCTCACTTTCTGCAGCTCCTGTCTCAGCCAGGATGGCAGAGGCTGCCCCAGTCTATGTAGCAGTTTGGACAGTTCCACGTTGTGATCTCGGTAGTAGCTTGACAGAAACGCTCTGCTCTGAGGTGGGACACAAAAGGACATTTCACTTTGTTGATTAAAGTATACTTCATATACTGTGATGATGTTTAAGTATACCATACCTGAGATTTATACTAAGCACCTGGGCTATTTATTTAGCATAACAGAAGCACAGCGACTCTCTTCTTCAAAATAGACGCTCTACCAGCATACACTGTTTTTACTAGGGAAAGAGATTTTGTATTAAGCATGTGATTTACTTGAAAAAAAAATGATTGAGTTGCTAGAAAAATAGCTGTGACAACTGGTTGGGTCTAATATGATGCTCTTATTAAAATCATCTTTGCTTTGGAGAACGTTAGTTGGGTACATCTACAATATAAAATACTCCTTGGTCATCATTAATTTACATTTAGATTTGGAAGGTATGTAATACTTTCTGAAGAGATGTTTTAAGGCATACAAAGGCATACTGCTAAAAACAGTATTGTGGCAGGCTTGAAAATGTAGTAGGTAAACTGGGTTAACATCTAACCTGCTATATTTGTATGATTTGACCCAAGGAAGGAAAATAATGCCTTGTAAACTATCTTGACTTAGAGGGAGGTAGATTCCTCTTCAATAAAGAAAAGATTTTAATAATTGAAACTGTCAAAACTGGAAAGGGCTGTGCTGTGAGATGGCATTTAGTGGCATTCATATATAGGTTGGATGACCGTTGTTAGGAATGTTGTAAAGGGGGGATTTCTGCATCTGTATCTGCACCTTCAGGCTTTGTACTACTCTGAGATTTTTGGCAGAGTCAAACTTTAAACAATGTTTATTTAATTCCTTGTGCTATTCTCTTAAAATGTCATATCTGGTACTCGATTTTAAACACCATAAAAGAAAGTCTCATTTTGTATTGATAATTTCGATGTAACAGTGACTTTTGTAGGAATCATGATCACTGGAATTCAATAGAATGTTTGTGCTATCTTCTAACCATTAATGGGATCAAGGGAGAATCCAAACCATTGTGTGATTTGTGGCTGTCTGTCTCATTTCTGTCTTTGGTCTTCCTCAGTCATTAGCTCTAAAACCACTGACAGGCCGAGCTCGCATACTCAGGCAAAAGAAAACAGTAGAGATAAATTTTATTTCTCAGATACTATATCTGGGAGCCTGATAGTTCTGTGCCTCCTTTGCTGCCAGCCAGACCTGGAATCTAGGTAAGAGCCTGAGGTCCTTGTCTCTGAGTTTCTGAACTTGCCCATTTTGTTCTCTCTTAATGGCTCACTTTGTACTGTTTTCTCTTTATGACTCAAGTCCTGCTTGGAATAGCAGCAGCCTGGGGCTACCCAGTTCTTGCCTGCTTGCTGTCTAATATTTCCATCTGGTAAGTAATTGTCCAACATCTTAACTAAGTCTAGAATTGAACCTCCTGGGATCCATTTCTACTGTCCATCCCTTTGGTGTCTGAACTGAACCTCCTGATACTGGCCTCAACCTATTGGCCTTTTGGGCATTATTTTCATACCTGGCTGCCTGTTTCAGTGCACCTCTGTAGACTAACCCTTGTCCTGTGCCCTATTATGTGTATGTGTGTCCCCGTAATCATGTTCCCTTACTCAAGTACCCTTTCCTCTTGTTGCTTTGCTCTCTCATTATGGCAAGACAAATGAAATGAGATTTGCAATGTACGATATGTTCTATTTTAGATTCTAATATGTTCAGGCCAAAAGTTATTGGAACAGAACTTTGTGGTATGCAGGATTTATTGAACACACATTGTTATCTGACTGTCATTCAGAAGGGGGAGTATTTTAGATGGTAAAATCACAGATAGGATATATGCTGATGTATGTCACGGTAATCTGACTACTTCACACAAATGCATGTAAAATAATGTAATAAGAGGAGATAATAATATATACTTTTATAATATAAAAATATAAAAAGAGGGAATCATATGATACATTCAATATCAGGTTGTATATCGGCCTTTTATTAAACTAAAGAATCTATTACATGCTTTTGATTTGGAGAGATATTAGATTTAATGATATTAATTTAGAATTTAGATTAATTTATTCTTATTCTTATTATTCTAATAATTTAGATTAATTTATTCTTTTTCCACACTATATTTTCACAAACAAAGTAAAAGTGGAAGCAGGCCAAAAGCTTTCTTAATTTACCTGGGTTAAATGCATTCTGTGATGTTTTGGTGACAGCTGGGTGCTGGCATTTTTCTGTAATAAGGGGAGAAACGAGCCACGTTGTGACAGTACCACCTCCTCTCATCCATTCTCACAGTCGTGTGTCCGTTGTCTCTAAGAAGGCTCCTCTACTCTTGCCTTCTCTCTGATCACTATTTGCATAAAAGCAACCACTCTATGCCCTCAAATAAACCCAGTATTTACATGATATTGTGATACAATAAGAAATGTATGTATTTGGTTTTCATTTCAGGTTCCTGGCCGAGAGCTCCTAAAACGCTTGCAATTCCCTGAGTGATAGGGGTGAAAGGAGTGTGTTTTGTTATTCATAATAAGTTAAGCCATACCTGAATTTATGCTAATGAGGTGACTCTTGGTGGGACCATAGATAGTGTCAAATGGGGGCTAGTTGCTACAGGAACAAAACATAAGATTAGAGTTTGAGAACTCTCAGCCCGACCCTCTGACCTCCAAAGAAGGAAAAAGGGACTGGGGATTGAGATGATGACTAATGGCCAGTGATTTAATCAATCATGCCTACCTAAATGGAACTCCCATAAAAACCCTAAATGAAGACTCTGGAGAATGTCAGGGTTTGTAAATGCATCCATATGCTGGGAGGGTGATACACCACAAACTCCACAGAGATAGAAGCTCCTGTGCTTTAGCACCCTTCTGGACCTTGTTCTATGTGCCTCTTCCCCTGGCTATTCATTTCTATCCTTTATGATAATAGAAAGTAAAGTGTTTCCCTGGGTTCTCTGAACTGTTATAGCAAATTTTAAAACCTGAGGAAGGGGTCATGAGAACCCTTGATTTGTAGCCACTTTGGACAGAAGTGAGTAATCTGGGAACCTGTTACTTGCTATTGGAGTCTGAAGGGAGGGCAGTCTTGTGGTAGTAAGCCCTTTACCTGTGGGGTCTATACTAGTTAGTGTCACACTTGAGTTAAATTGTAGGGCACCTCGTTGGTATATGCAGAAATTTGCATGATTGGTTGGTATGAAATGCCACACATTTGGTGTCAGAAGTGTGAGTTAAAAAACCCTTTGAATGTATTACACAGTAACCTTGCTGGAGTATCAATATGGAAGTACTGATATTCTAAAAAATTTTGTTTTTCTTATCTTTCTCTACCACAAAATCTAATATTATGTCTCAGTATGTCTGTGTTTGATAAGAGTAAAATAAAATACTAAGAAAGATGTTGTACAGTGTCTTTTAAACACTTTAGTTTAATAAATATAGTAAATATAATAGAGAAATAGATTTGACATAAATGAAAATGATATATTTTATATTACTTTCTTGAAATACCATGGAAATTGCCCTTGAGTTTCTATTAATGTGTAAGGATTATTTTTATAGTGCTCTGAAGGTATATTTTAATAATTATCCAAAGAAAACTATCAAAGAAATATTACTGTGCAGGCCACATTTATTACTATAGCGTGACTTAGTGGGGGAAAAAACAATCTTTTGGTCCTGTTTTCAATTTCTAGTTGATGTATTTCCTGTCTTGGTTTCATTTTTAGGGCTAAATTTTCTGTGAATATATCATTCTTTTTGTAATGAGATGTTGCCTTCTTTGTTCTGCTTCAAAATAGAAAGTTCTGTTGTTTTCCTTTATTCTTGTATGACAGGTAATGTATCATTGGAAAAATCCAAATAAGCAACCTGGATACATTTGAAATCCAAATGTCACTTGTAATTTTTAGAAGGGCTAAATTTTTATTTTAACCACTTTTATAAGAAAATACATATTATTTATTAGTTTGCTTATTTAATTTGTATTTATAAGCTTTATACTTACATCAAGATCCATTGGAGGGTATTTTCTTCCTTTGCTCTTTCCAAGGCATTTTGTTTTACCTTCTTCCAATAACTGACACCAGAAACCTTTATGAGAATCAAACCTAAAAAAAAAAATTAAAAACACAAAACACAAAAAAGTATTTTTCAAGCAATTTATAAGGTATAATGACCAAAACCATGAATTTATTTTTGGATCTTAATCTATAACCAGAGAAACTGGCATATTTTTTGACTAAGTCACTTTGCATAAAGCCTTTTGGCATACTTCTGAATTCTTAGTCCATCTGTCATATTTGTGAGTTTGCCAGACTCCTAATAGAAAAATTGTCAGCAGAAGGTCTCCTATTAATAGAAATTAATAAGCCTACCTCCTTCATCTGGAAGGAAAAAGTTTTATAAATTTCAAGTCTGTTCTTTTCCTTTGTAGGGTTTAAAAATGACAAGTCAGGTTTCATCCATATCTATGGATGTATGTAGTATTTATCCCATACAATTACAGAGTAATAGAAGAGAGAGGGTTTTGGTGTGCCATGGAGTGATTAATTTTAGGGTTCTCCAGCTATAATCCACTTACTTTTTTTTCCAGAGCCACTTTCTTATTTTGTTATGAGCTCTGTATTAAAGTCACAGTACCTATAAATATGGATTTTCATGGCATAACTATAATCAAAGTAATAGTAACACATTAAATTTATATTTTATTTATTTTTTATCTTTCATGTTGTTTTATTTATTATTTATTGTTATTTTTTTAAGTTTTAATTTTAATTCCAGTTAGTTAACATACTAAACTTACATTTTAGTTTACCAAAACATTTTTTTTAAAGATATCATTTATTTATTTGAGAGAGAGAAAAAGAGTGGGGGGAGGTCAGAGGGAGAGGGAGAGAATCTGAAGCAGACTCAATGCTGAGCATGGAGCTGGATGTGGGACCAATCTCATGACCTGAGATCATGACCTGAGCTGAAACCAAGAGTCAGACACTCAACTGACTGAGCCACCCAGGTGCCCCAGTTTACCAAAATATTTTACATAACTCATTCTCCTTTGAGCTTTCATTATAACCCCTCAATGATACGGAGTATAGGATTCTTTCCATTTTATGGCACTTAGCATAGTATTTGGTCTTTCTGAATGTTCACTGAATGTTAGTTGAATAAAAAATGAAAGAGCAGGAAATGTTTGTCAAGGTTTATTTCTCTTGGACTATATATTTTTTCCATATGCAGGTCATAACCTAAATCTAGCCCTCCTTACTCTAAGTACAATGCTTTTTCTTCTTCACTGGTCTCTGGTTATGTTTTATATAACCATTCATTATGAATAAATAGTAATTTCCATGCTTGAATATAAAAGCAAAAATAAGAGTCAGCAATGATAATTCTTTTACATTGCTTTTGTAATTTAATAATTCTATTGCTATACTTTCTTCTTCACTAGAAAGAATTACCACTTGGGGCTACTTTTTCTTTTTGTTTTTAAATCCACACTACTCAGAATACTGTTTCTGACTTTTTCTTAAAAGCATAGTGTGAGCAGTGAACAACTGGCAACAAAAAATAACACATTTAAGTTAGCCTAAAAATATGAAGTACCTAGGGAAAAATTTAACATAAAATATGTGCAAGATCTGACACTGAAAACTACAAAGCATTGATTGTAAAGAGGAATTGTAGAAGACATAAACAAAGAGGGCTATAGCATGTTCGTAGATCAAAACACTAAGTGTTTTGAAAATATCAACTCCAAATTTATCTATGGATTCGGTGTGATTCCAATCAAAACTGCAATGGAATTTGTAGGAATTGAAAAGAGGATTTTAAAATGTATATGGAAATGCGAAGGACCTAGCCAAGCTAAAACAATTTGAAAAAGGAGAACAAAGTTGGAGATCTTATACTATAGAGTTTTAAGATTTACTGTAATGCTACATAATCAGGTCTGTGTGGTATTTGCACCAATGAATAAACGGAACAAAATAGAGTCTAGAAATAGACCATCACATCTACAATCAACTGATTTGCAAAAGCAGGTGCCAAATAAATTTGATGGGAAAGAACGGTGTTTTAAACAAATTAAACTGGAAAAATTAGATATCTCTATGGAAAATATGAATATTCACACTTACATTGTATTTAACAGTTAACCTGAAGTCAATCATAGACCTAGACTTGAGGTAAAACTATAAAAATTTTGAAAGTAAAAAGGAAAAAAACACAGAAAAGTTTTGTAATCTTGATTTAGGCAAAGATATTTTAGGATGAATGATAAAAGAAGAATAATGATAATTTTGAATACCTCAAAATTTAAAACCTTTGTTTTTCTAAAATACTTTAGAAAATGAAAAGAGAAGTCATAGAATAAGCAATAGTGTTTGTAAAACATAGGACTAATAAAGGACTTGTATTCAGAATATATCACTCAACAAAAAACGATGACAATACCAACAAAGATTGGGTAAAGATTAGCACAGGTACTTCATCAAAAAACATATGTGAATGACCGGTAAACAAACGAAAATTTGCTCAACATAATTAGTCATTAAGGAAATGCTAATTAAAATCACAAATGAAATAGCACTATGCACTCACTAGAATGACAATTTAAAAAGACCAATACCAAGTGCTGGCAAAGATGTGAAACCATTAGAGCTGCCACACCTTGTTGGTAGAAATTAAAAATATTATAGCCATTTTCGAAAGCTTTTTATATGTTTAACTATATAATTAATATTTGACCCACCAACCCCATTTTTAGGTATATATCCAAAAAAATGAATTTATATGTGCATACAAATATCTATACACAAATGTTTGTAAGTAGCCTCAAATGGAAACAACTCTACGTCTATCAATTAGTGAAAGGATGAACAAATTGTGGTATATCCATAAAATGGAGTACTACTCAATGATAAAAAAGAGCTAATTACTGATGGAACAACAGGGAGGAATGTCAAAAGCACTATGCTAAATGAAAGAAAGTAGATGAATGGTTGCTGGGGGTCAGGAGTGAGGGGAAAGGATTGACTGCAAAGGAGCATGAAGAAACTTTTTGTGTTAATAGAAATGTTCTGTGTCATCAATCTGTACAGTTAAAATGGGTAGATTTTATTATATAAATTTTATATCAATAAATTGATTTAAAATTATACTGTGATTGAATGTGTGTTTATATGTATGGATGTGATTTGGAAGGTATATGTAGCTAATCTTGTGGCATTTATAACATAGTTGTATGAAAAGAATGCAAACCTAGATTTCTGCTTCTATACTGGTTTGGATATTAGAGACACTAAAGAATTATTCACATCTCACTTATGCAAAGCCAATTTCTCATGATTACCGACACAACTGTGTGAAATCAGGACACAACATGATATGTCTTCATGTTATTTATATTCTTGTTTGCATCAGTAAGGCAACTGAATAAAGTAGTCCCACACTCAGAAGTATAAGAAAAAAAAGCATTTAAAAGACTATTATTTAAATAATCTGTACATGAAAGCTGGGAAGCTCTAATATGACACACTTTCTGGAAGTCTGCTATTGATATAGTATTTTTCATAAACATTTTGTCCTTAGGAATTTTTACAATTGAATTCTGGCTCATTTCAAGTATTTAAGTGATCAAAATTCAGAATCCAGACCAACTATTATTATTATTTTTTTGATAATATACCTAACTATAGATACATCTCTGGAACATACATATGCCTTATGTTAAAATGAGCAGCCATCTGACAGAATGATGTTTTCTTAAGAGACACTGAACTTCACACATAATATAATTGAGAATCAGAACAAAAATGGGTTTTTCTTTCATCTCTGTTAATTGGTTACATCTCATGCAGCAGGCTGTCACACTGGGCTTTATTGAGAAAAAGTATGTGTGTGTATGTGTGGTTGGCAGGTAACCCAGGCATCTGTATGCATAAGGCAATGGCCTAAGTGTGTTGGAGTGGAAAAGAAAAGGAGAGGAAGGCGTAAGGGTGATCATGTTTATTTTCCAGGTGACTTGAGCTAGAGGTGAAGGGATTGATGTTGACCTTATGAGTTTGAAGACATCAGCAATGCAATTTCAGAGTTCAAGTGAAGAAGCTTGACACAAAACAGAGAAAGATCTCCCTACATCTGTTTAGAATATCATCAGTGTTCCTCTTAAGATTAACCTTGGTACCACTGATATCTGCTGGGACAGCAAGAAACCTTTGTGTAGGCACTAGTCATGGCTAGAACCCTCCTTTAAAGGACTTCAGGAAGTGAACCTTTTGGGGGAAATTTTTTGTGTTGTTTATGCCTCTGGTTACCCACCCCTTCCTGGAGGTAGAGATACTTTGTTTATCATTGTATCCCAGAGTCTTTCACATAATAGTCATCCAATAGAACTTTGTTGAATTAGAGTAAAACAAGAATGGATTTGTTCTTCTCTCACTCAAATATATAAAATCTTAAGGGGGCACCTGGGTGGCTTAGTCTGTTGAGCATCTGTCTTCAGCTCAGGTTATGATCCTGGGGTCCTGGGATTGAGGATCACATCAGGCTCCGTGCTCAGCGGGGAGTCTGCTTCTCCCTCTCTCTCTGCCCCTCCCCCCACTTGTGCTCTCTCTTTCTCTCTCCCAAATATATACAATCTTAAAAAAAAAGAATGGATTGGTTCTTAAATTTCTATAGAATATCACCTGGGGATGTCTAGAAATAACTGGAAGAGACTTGTAGTCAGGGACAATTGAAATTCTCCAATGATTCAGAATCCAACTGGTAACATTTGGGCAGGTGAATCCTAGGGAATATTCAGATTATACTTAGTAGTTTAAGTATGTTTAAAACGACTTTAGATTGAAATAACATTTCCATGGGAGAATAGTGAATTGCAAACAATGCAGGTAAATTTCAAAATCAAAACACCCATCATTCAGGTGTTACTAATATGGAACAAACAGAAGTTACCTTTTGTTTGTTTTTGTTTTTTAAATCAGTTTCCTCTCTACAAACATGCTTTTATGATTTAATGAGCCATTTTGCTGATACCCGTTTTATTTGTAACAGTTTTTTAAGGTATAATTTACTTATAACACTCATACAATTAAGTAATTTGTAGTAAGTTTATATAGTTGTATAAGTATCACCACAATCCAGTATTAGAACATTTCCATAATCCTCCAAAATTCCTTAGAGCCCACTGGAAGCAATCCCTGCTGTTACCTCCAGGCCCAGGCTAGCACTGATCTACTTTCAGTCTCTAATTTGTCTTTTCTGGAAATTTCTCCCATTTTTTTTTTTTTTTTTTTTTTTTGCTTTTTTTTTGTTGGGGAGGATATGCCAAATTTTGTTAATCCATTTACCAGGTGATGGATATTTGGGTTAGTTCCAGTTTTTGGCATTTATTCATTCAATCATTTATAAAAGTTTTTTTTGTCTTTCGAACACATTGATTTCCTCACTTCATAAGAGCATTCTAAAAGTAGTATCACTAGCATACAATCACAGTGTTAGAGAACACTGAATAAGCATGAGCCTTAAAAAAAATCACAGGGTAGACAGTGGGATGATAAACTGTTAATTTAAACTTATGAAGTAGAGTCCAACAAAATAGGAATCACATGTGGTTCCCACCATGGAATTATCAGTTTCTGGCTATTATTAATAATGCTTCTGTGAACAAGTATTTGTTGGATGTAGGTTTTCATTTCTCTTGGGAGTGGAATTATTTGTAAGCTTCTGTTTAATTTTTAAGAGACTGCAAAATTGCTTTTCCAAAGTGGCCATATATCATACATTATCATCAGCAATATATGAGGGTTCCAGTTTCTCCACATTTTTGCTAACATTTGGTATTGTCTTTTGGATTACAGCCATTCTAGTGGTATTTCAGTGTGATTTTAATTTGCATATCACTATGATTGCACATTTATGATGCAAAGTGATTGTGTGTCTGAAGATGGATTCTTTTTATAAGAAAGTCTGAGACAACTTACAAAGCTCATTTTAAAGTTTCAGTCTTTTAAAGAAAGTGCTTCCTATTGGTGTACTATTCATTAGTCATAATTTACAATATTGTTTTTTCTCTGGTTCTAACATCTTGTGCCAACTTAAAGAGCTTAATAGATTGGCAGCACAGTCCAGTGGACTAATTGAGTTTTAGTCCCGAGTCCTCAATTTATTTGCTGAGTGACTTTTGGCTTAGCTTTTCTGTATTGGTTTTTGTTTTTGTTTTTTTTTTAGCTGAAAAATGGAGCTAATAGTACCTATCACATATAGTGTTGGTATTAAGCAATATACGTAAACATATAAATGTAGAATATATATTTATATTGATTTTCAAATGTTATAACCACTTTTAAAAACAAATTAATCATAAGAAATTGGAGCAGACTGTCTTTTTCACAACTTACCATTGCTAGGTGCTTCTTTCATGGGTCGTCCAGGGAACCAACAGATTTTAGCTACTATGGCTACTTTTTTTTTTGCTACTGACAAAGATTTTAATGTGGCACATTTTTACTCAAACTCATCTACAATGGGATGGGAAAGACTTCCTTGGCAATATAAATTTGGTTGCTAGGGGAAGGGGGATGAGACACAATTGAAGAACCTTCTTGAATTCTGAAGCAGCTTTGATTCTTTATGACTTACTAAGCCCCATCCACAGAACAAAACAAAACAAACCCACAATCTTTATTCAGTCCCTGGCCTTCAAATTCTTATTGTCCATCTATTGAAATTTTCATAGTAAATTCATGTTAAAAATTCATATAACCAATCCAGTTTCATCTGTGTTAACAAAGAGGTTAACTGACTGAGAAGTAAAGACGTCAAGTTCAGGTATTTAACCGGTATTTCTACATATGAAACCTCTTGTCGTGGTCACTGATGGCTACGTGTAATTGTGAGTGCATATGTTCATGGAAAAATAAAAAGTTTATATTTTTCATAAATTAGTTTATATAAATTAGCACAATTCCATGCTAAACATGATTTTTACTGCTTTCTCTGAAATGATCAGTCAGCCTAAAACACTATGTAACACATAACATGAAAGCTAAAATAGTGTGAGTATATCAATCCTATTTACAATTTAGGCATGAAGGTTATATTGAACAAGAATAGTAAAATACTAATTTCCTTAATTGCATGAGAAGTTCCCATTTATACTGTTTAAAACTTATACTTTTGTTCTGACCAAGAAAATCACATTTTTTTTTACATACTAAATGTCATTTAAAATTCATGATGACAGTACTAAGTCATTTTTGAGACATCATAGACTATCCAAGGACTGCATGAAATTTGGAAGTCTTGAATACTTTCTTTAGCAGTTGTGGAAAGGAATAAATAATACTCTAACAATGGAAACTTACTGCCATTTTTCTTGAAAACAGTTTTGAAATTGAAACTGTTTTTATATTTCAGATAATCAGTTTATAGAGTGCTTAAATTGGAGTACCTTTTCATGCCAAAACTGTATAGTAAAATCTTTGTGTAGACCTAATTTCATTCATTTATTCTTCTCTGTGCAAAAAACCTGGCTTTATGTGGTTAGTTGAGAATTCATATCTGTTTGCAGTTCAGTACGTTCTTAGAGGATTTTAATTATTTCTTTTTAAGTACCAAAGAGATAGTCTTCACTATCACTAGCAGAAAAAATATGAAGCAATAAATGACATTCCTGAGAACATACATTCTGTTTGACTCCTGCTCATCCTCAACGTGTCCAAAGCACCACAGAAAAAATTTATCAGTACAGTTACTTTAACAAGAGTAACAAAATTATCAGGGCAGGGTTCGGAACTGCAAAGGGCTTGGTGAAGGAGGAGGTACCCCAATTCAGACCTAAGACAATGACCTGAAATTCCAAATATTCTACAACAGCTCCACTGCTGATGTGTGTAAGGCCAACTGATGACTGACAAGAAAATCTAAAAAGAAACTGAATGGCTGTACATTATTTCTATCAGCAGGGTGAGAGTTTGGGCAGCCCTGCAGGGCGAGAAGCTGTGGTTTCAGAGACTACACATATCTTATCTTGCTGCTTCACCCACTGAGCCCCATACCAGGCTAGAGAATCATATAACAGGCAGTTTTAGCCAGATACATCCCAGGTGCAAAGTGATCCACAGTTCTTTGTATATAGAATGTTCCTTTGATATTACTTCTCTTAAGTTTACACTCCCTTTTCTCGACTGTGGAGGTGAATAAAAAGCTTGCTGCTGAGCTGGATGCAAAGGGGACAAATAACACAGCATGCAGGTCAAGGACCATTCCATAAAAAAGGAGATTATGTCTTTATAGAATACTTCACTTCTTTTTTCTGAAATACAATGCTTTGCTATATGCTCTATAAAAAAGACCCAAAGATAAACCAACTTGAAATAGAAAACTGTTTAGAAAATAAAAGCTTTCTTTTCTAAGAGATACTTTAAAAAGATATCAAGCAGAAAGTGGACTTGAATTTCTAACTGCAAACTAAAATCACTCAGGTTTCTTTAAAGTCAAGCTGAAAGTTAAATACCTGAGGTGAGTAGAGTCTGTGTTAGTACTTGAACTAAACTCTACAAAGCTCTAATAGTACTCGTAGTATAAAAACACAGAGGTCAGAAGGCTACTAGTAACAACAAAGTAAATGGCTCTTGGGAAGGATGCTCAAAAGCCAAGTTCCTTTGTCCTCCATACCAAAATGTCTTTCTTACATATATCTCTACATATGATTTGTTCAAGACATAAGTAGTCTTTGATGTTTTTCTGCCAATCTTTGTCATAAGGGATGCTGAAAGGTAAAGGAATCCTGCCTCTCACAACTTGTAACTTGCTATAAGATAAAGCGTACAGTAAAAAGAGAAAATCAGTTGATCTATAGAAGTGAGTTTTATAATGAGAAATACAATGGAAGAATTCCATAACACCCCCTTTCAGTTTCTTTAAGGCTCAGCCTATGACCCTAAAATTAAAAAAGACAGTGTTATAGTGGGGGTCAGGTCCATGGCCCATCCAATTTAGTATCTTCCAGTTGCTCTAGGCATGGGAAATAGGAACAAACACAACCCTCAGAAATTTGATTGCCAACCATAATAGCGGACAAAGTAAGATGGAGGTCTTATTTAAAATGCTAAATGGAGTCCAAAGTCAGGATTAAGGTAAGCTAAGAGAGGTACGTGGGGTGCAGAATTTCAGGAGGTACTCTCTCTTGGGCATTTGCATGGACCTGACAGCGAGTGCCTCCTTAAATCCTAACGCTTCTCTTGCCTTATCCTCGCCCTGGCCCAGATGGAGTCAGTTACCTAAGCAAATCAGAAAAAAAGTAGCAAAAGGAAACCAAACCAGAGCTGTGATTGCTTTGGTCCCCTGAAGAGGAGGTGACAGGGTCAGATAACACAGTGAGTAAAAATGCAGAAGCCAAAAATGGAAGTATGTGTAAGAGCACATCTGTCTCTGCCAATTCAGTCACCTATTGGGTGATTTCTTGCTGCATGACATTGTTTTTGCAAATTGCACAAAAGATGGAGGAGAGAGTTCATAAACCATCTAGTTGGTCACCTCTTTATGCTTCCACCGAGTTCCTCCTATTGTCTCTTAAACAGGCTCAGCACTTACCGACCTAAGTAGCTTATGTGTTTAATTGCTGGTTTTAAGATTTACAATTATTTTGCTTCTCTACTTTCCTTCTAGGGGAAAATATTTCATAGTTAGAAATCAACAGAGGATTTAGGACATTTCTTTGCCACACTGTTGAAAGTTTGTTTCCAAGTAGTTAATGTCAAGCTAATCAGAAAATAATCAGTATGTAAGGAACAGCTAACATAAGAGCTGTATCTCCAAACTACAATTTTTTAAAAACCAATTCTCTCCTGAAACTTCAATAAGTTAATTAGAATATAAACTTACGTTAAAGCTTCAGAGTAATTATAATGAGGAGAGACTCCTAGAAATTTCTGTACTTCATCCATCACTGTAGCAGGATCCATCCTTAGCTGTTGTCCATCAATAATTAGCAACTAAATTACCAAAGGGGGAAAAAAAAAGACAATGCACATTGAAAAAAGATGTGTAACTGTATAATAAAAAATTCCTGCACTCTTGAATTTATTCAATGAGAGACATTCTACTGAGGGGATTTGCACACATTGTTGTTAGACTTAACCAGGCCCTTCTAATTAATGGCCTGGAATAAGAAATAAATCACACTAAATCACACACTAATGCACTCATGTTTTTATAATCTGAGAAGTCCCAAAAATATTATGAAAACAAGAAAGCCATTTGAGGGAACCAAAAGAGCTTAAGAAACGTGGCTACAAAATCATAAATGGAAACCAAGCAAACAAGGATTCCATCATTCAAGCTGGGAAGGAGCACTGTAGAAAAGAAGAAAAGTTGGAATAACACCAGGTGTAATGAGGCAGAGGACATGTCATTCTCCATGAGTCCATTCAAAGGAGTAGCACTGTAAAGTTTTAAGAAATAGTTAGATAATCCATTTGGACAAAAAGGCAAGACTCCTAGAGGACCTGAATGTGGACAGAAGTTCCTCAACTGACGAAGGGGAAGAATTTGCTTGTTACTCTAGGGAAGGAGGCAGGTGGCCAGAAAGATAAAATGCCAGGAGACCATGATGGAGGACCACAAAGTGACCACAATCTGTTCTTCCTTTTTGCTCATACCTCTTCTCCAATATTTCTGTTTAGTCTAGATTGGCATTGTTCACTAAAATGTTTTGTGACTATGGGCATGTTCTAAGTTGTGGTGTTTAACAGGTAGCTATTGAGCATTTAAGATGTGGCTTATGTGATTGGGAAACTGACTTTTTAATTTCATTTAATTTTAATACAAATTTAAATAGCCAGATGTGGCAGCAGCTATCACATTGGACAGCGAATCTAGACACACAGGCATGCACCATGTCTGTGTGACTGGACTGCTTTATGCAATCCAATATAGGGGCTGAGTTTGTAATCTAGGTTGGTGCCTGGCAAAAGAAAGAAGCAAGGAAGGCAAGAAAAACATAGGGCTCATGAAAAATTCACCAAGGTGGTTCAAAGTGAAATAATGACACTTAATTAAGCAAAACAATATTTTTCAGGGATATGAAGCTTTTGAAGCTCTTTACAATCAGGATGGGCATGCACTAGAAAATACAGCAGGGAGAATATTCTGAAATACTTTTAGAAAGAGAATTAAGCAGTTTGTCTACCTCTGCCTAACTAGTATTCTTTGCCACAGTCTTATTTACAACTACAGAGTAAAAGCTAGTAATGTTTTAATGAGTAAAAATTTCCTCTATCCTAGAGGCAAAGTCATCACCTTAATGAGATTGTAACATGATGTAAATTCTTATTGCTCAATACCTGAAAAGGAGGGAAATAAACAAGCCATCTCTCGATGTGGCTGGCATACCACCCTGGGACCAAACATCTCTTCTGCAAGGCTCTAAGCTCAGAGGGTGCACGGGGCCCAGCTGAGATCACTTCGTAGAAGCTAAACTTCAGAGCTGCGGGGTCTTCATGTGATCGCTGATGCTATGATGAAAAGGTGGATAATTAAACTAACTTGAACCATAGGCATGAATAATTAATTAAAAACCAATCTCTGTGACGAGTCTTGAAGCTAAAGGAAGGAGCGACTCACTGCTGGAGAGTTATTTGTTTTGCAATTAATAAAGGATGAAAATGCTTGCTTGGAGCATCAGGATTTAAAGCTATGACACTGATGAAGGTATCTTTTTTGAGAACTTACTTGGGAGAGGCTGAATTCTTATTGATAGGCCTCCTTAACCAACTTTACTGAGTTTTTTCCTTAGTGTATGTATTTATACTGAAAGTAAACTTTTTGAAAGTTGCATTAATGCCCCCTTTGCAGTCCATAAGCAAAACATTTGTTATGTCCATTGAATATCCGTAATACACCAGCACTCTGCTAGTTCTGCTATATAGTTTTGCTCCGTCTATTAATGCAGTTTTAGATTAGAAAAGCCCTACTGGCTATTTTAAATGGAGAAACTACTGAAAACTCTGACATGTACATTATCTGAAATCCACAGCTTTTATCACATACCACCTAGCATCTAAAAGCCAAGATTATTTTACCTAATGGTAACCTTCCTTTGTGATGAGTCAGAATCATTTATTGTACAGAAATGCAGAAAGCAGCAATCCAAATAGGAAAGTGTTTCATAATGGCTCAGGCTGAGGCCCATGGGTTTGAGGAAATCACCTTTTCCCTAAATTGACGAATAAATATTCAAGCTTAGTGGTAGGTTTGTGGATGTTTACCACATCTAGTTGAATAGCAAATTTGCTGCAATTGAGATTCAAATTACTATACTACAACCACTACTAGACTTTGTTAAAGCCTGCATTTTGCTACCATAGAGTGATTTATTTGTAATATTTAGGACATTTTGTTAGCTTACAGCCTTGAAATCTCCCTTTATGGTAAATTCTCAATTTTTCAGGGGCTAAGCGGTTGCCAAGTTCCAATTTTCTTTTCTCTTTGAGTCAATTAAGGCTTATTTCTCTTTTCTCTAGACACCTGGTGGAAAAAGTAAAAGACACAAAATCTAATCAGTCAATTTGCAATTTGCTGTAGACTATGATTTAATAGATGGCTGTAGGAGTTTGGCATCAATGCTTAGTGTGGAGTTGTGGATTTCAGCTTTCCAGGATGTCTCACTTCCTATTATGCAGATTATTGTCAACATGCCTATCTAAGATCCCATCTGCTTTATCATGACCTTTTCCTACTCTGTCCCAGGCACAAAACCTTTCCTGACAATTTGTTCTTCCTTTTTGAATCTGGAAAAACTACTTTTGTTAAATAACAAAAGGACCCAGTGCTGAGAAACTTTATTTTCTAATATCCTAGATTGTCATGAATTATCTTTTTGAAATCCTATATGGAACACACTACACTTGTCTGGAAGATCAGAGCTATGTGCATTCACTTTAATACAGAGAAACAGGCTTATTTCCAACCCAGGTGCAGAGATTCAGATAAGGAGTTTTTGGTTTTGTTGTTTTGTTTTTGGTTATTACCTTTGTCATTATGTGGTATCCTTCTTTATCTCTTGTTACAGTCTCTGTTTTAAAGTTTATTTTGTCTGATATAAGAAGCATTGCTACCCCAGCTTTCTTTTTGCATGTTAAATGCTTTTCCATCCCTTCACTTTCATTCTGTATATGTCTTTAAGTCTGAAGTGAGTCTCTTGCAGGCAGCATATAGATAGATCTTGCTTTTTTATCCATTCAGTCACCGATGTCTTTTGTTTGGAGCATTTAGTGCATTTACATTTAAAGTAATTATTGATAGGTGTGTACTTATTGCCATTTTGTTACTTGTTTTGAGATTGTTTTTGTAGTTCTTCTCTGTTCCTTTCTTCTCTTGCTGTCTTCCTTTGTGGTTTGATGACTTTCTTGTTATGCTTGGATTCCTTTCTCTTTATTTTTTTTGCATATCTGTTATAGGTTTTTGATTTGTGGTTACCATTAGGCTCATATATAACATCTTATGCATATAGCAGTCTATATTAGGTTGATGGTTGCTTAAGTTTGAGCCCATTTTAAAAACGCTAAATTTTTATTCCCCCCATCATGTTTTATGTATATGATACCACACTCATCATCATTTTATTTTGTGAATCCCTTGACTGATTTTTGTAGGTATAATTGACTTTACTGATTTTGTGCTTTAACCTCTATATTGGTTTTATAAGTGATTAACCTACTATCTTAATTGTATGTTTGCATTTACCTGTGAAATTTTTTTCCTTTCATAATTTTCTTACTTTTGATTACGGCCTTTTCTTTCCACCCAAAGAATTCCCTTTAATGTTTTTTGGAAGGCTGATTTAATGGTGATGAACTCCTTTAACTTCTATTTGGGAAACTATTTCTCCTATTCTGAATGATAAACTTGCTGGGCAGATTATTCTTGGTTGTAGGTTTTTTCCTTTCAGTACTTTGAATGTATCATGCAACTCCCTTCTGGCCTGCAAGATTTCTGCTGAAAAATCAGCTGATAGATTTATGGTGTTTTCCTTGTATGTAACTGTTTTCTTTCCTCTTGCTGCTTCAAAAATTCTCCCTCTATCACTACTTTTTGCCATTTTAACTATTATGTGTCTTGGTGTAGACCTCTTTTTAGACGTTATCCTAACCTAATAACAGGTAAGGGGTTTTTGAATACAGCATTTCACATTTATCTCAACTTTATAGTTTCCAAGGAAAACGGACCCTTAGTCTATTTTTCAGTCTATTTTTTCAAAATGCAGATGTGTAGAAGCACAGATATACATACAAATACATGCTATTTTGTTATATTTTCATTTCATTAATAAATTTTATGAAATTAATGCAAAATTAATAAAAACTTTTTTTAAAGATTTTTTTTTATTTATTGAGAGAAAGAGAGAATGGTAGAGAGAGAGCATGAGAGGGAAGAGGGTCAGAGGGAGAAGCAGACTCCCCGCTGAGCAGGGAGCCCGATGCGGGACTCGATCCCGGGTCTCCAGGACAATGACCTGAACCGAAGGCAGTCGCTTAACCAACTGAGCCACCCAGGCACCCCAGAAAATTGATAAAAACTTAAGGAGAAAGTTAGTTTCTCCAGAAACAAAGAAAGCTCTATCCACTTTTATGCAGATATAAAACTAGCAAATCTCTTTTATGGAGACCTGAGTTGATTGCTATTGCCACAAACCATCCTCCTTTCTTCACACTCCCCTTCTTACCTGTTAGATTCTGTCTGTAGTATTCTTACCTGATACCAGGAATATGCTCGATCTGAAGGGTCAATGAGGATGGTGATGATCTTGGCTTTGGGGACCAGAGAAGCTGCTCTTTTAGGAGCTTCCTCTGAGTGGAAGTAATTGGCACTCTTTTCAAACAGAAAGTCAGTGGTGACATTAGATGGGACTGGGAAGAAATCCATATACCTAGAAAAGGAATATTTCTCAAAATAAGACTGGTTTATACTCAACTCTGGTGACTATAGATGTTAAAGGTGTCCCACAAATTCATTTGTTTTCTAAACAAAGGCCTTTTTCTATAAGGCATATGTTCCTTATAGTTAGCAAGGGAAAAGTATACAGGACTCTACTAATGTAATTTGAGAATGCTTCTCTAAATACATTTTCTTTTTGTTTTGCTTTTTCTTTTCTTTTTGTTTTGCTTACTATCAGGAGATAGCAAAAATGTAGACATAGAATGATTGAATTGGAACAATAATCAACCTAACTAACTATATAAAATGCATCTAAATGCAGAAGTATTTTACAGAGAAAAATGTGAGTGCTCAAACAGAAGGAAAATTTGATCAAAACAGATGATATGTTCACAGTTCAAAGATATTTAAAAAGGACTTAGACAATTTTTTTTTTACTTTATCACAAGTGAAATAATTTCCTTTCCACTAATGTGTTGTGCTGTGGTTGCATTCAACTATAAAATGTTAAAGGACAGGACACATCTGGTGTAAACATCACCTATTTGCTTAATTTTTTTCCATTTAGATCCACTATATTCTTTAGAATATTTATAAAAGTTTAAAAAGTATGTACATATTTCCAAATGTAAAATCCTATCAAATTTCCCAATATCCTTAAGCAGGCTGAGAATGTAAATCACTAGCAGAGTGAACACAGGAATACCTGAAGCCTTAAGCAGAGAAGTGTAGGACATAATAGATTTTGTATAATGTCCCATCTGTACAAAACCTGTCAAATATAAACTAATTCAGCATGTGATAATATATATTTCTGAGGCCCTAAGGACAAACTTTTAAAGGAAAAAGAGCCTTTTTAGAGAGCACATGCAAATTTAACTTCTAGGGTTTCTTACATTTGATCATAATGGCTTCTTCATCCTCCACTCCCACCCTCTTCAATTTATAAGTCACCAAAACTTTGGGCTACCAAAACATGGTAGTTCAATAATTATTGAACAAGAGAGTCATTAACATTTATGTGATGACTTCTTGATGCCTTATGTTGTTTTCTTTTAGTCATCTCACATGATCAAGCTTCTGGTAGGATTCCAGTTGTTAACATATTGCAAAGTTTGGCTGGCACAACAAAGTAATGTCTTGAAACTCAGGACGGTAAAGAAATCCTTTTATGTTTTCTGGAAATTGCCTTGGTAATATGTCATTCTGGCATCCTTTTAGAGGGAAACAGATATATAAAAATTTCTGGGAAGTTTGATCTGCTATCTGTTCTTGTATATAATCTATTTACACAAAGTGCCAAATTTTAAGATATTTCTTAATTTAGATGCTCACCTTGTGTTCCAGGGATGCTAAGGTTATCCCAAGTGTCTAGTGGTATCTTATTTGCTCTAAGCTTGTCTGAGCCATGCTTATTCTGAGAAAGGCTTTGAAAGCCACAAAAGAAGGGCAGAAAGTACTGAATTCTGATAGCTTTTAGTTTCTAAAAATAGTCCCACTTTTCCAGCAGTCCTCTTTATACCTGGAACAGTTTAGGCCTTAAAAATTTCCTCATGCAGTTTTGGATCTTGGACCTATAATGTGTTGATTTTGCCTGGCCCCAGAGGCTCATGGAAAAAGCAGGGTCCAATTCTTGTCCAAGTATTACATTCCTCTCCACTTTTAAAGCAGTTTTTCATCACTCCCTTTAGTCCTGATGTTAATGTAGATTTATTCTACCATATACAGGCATATATATTTGGGTCACTGGTCAAATAGCAGCTGAAGTAGTTGATGCTTTCTTGATTCTCACAGTTCTTATTTAACATGACACAATTAATCAATATCAAGTCCTGTACTGAAGAATTGGCAGTGAAGGATATTACAATTAGAATATATGTAAATCCTAGTAGCTGCTCAAATTATACTCAACACATTTCTTTCCTTTTGGGCCACACACAAGCAACTCTCGAGGGGGTTGATACTTATAAAATTGAGATCATGCAATCTGACAAAAGAAGTTAATATATAACAACTCTTTATGCTAAAATACATGCAAAATGTTTATGTTCATGCTCTAGAATTATTATAATTCCACTCTTTTATATCACTGTCTGCTTAGAATTTCTACCTTAACAGCAAGACTTATATATATTTTATTACTAATATGTTCATGTGCAATATCTATTCCTACTATATTACTGTATTTTGTGTATACTTGACATTTTAACTTTTAATTTAACTATTTTCCTTAGATGGTTGATATAGTTCCAATTTCAATTCAAAGACCAAAAATTAAATTTTGTATATTGTTGATAGCTTTATTATAGTTTTCATTACTTATAAAATATATACACATTTCTAGTTCTATTTATTTACCTTTTGTGCCAAAGCAAAATAGAAAATTATGTACATGGACTATAGCATCACTGTAATGCAAAGTACACAAGAAGAGAAAGTATTTTCTTAAGAGTGGAGAGGAATGAAATTCCTGGGTGTTATGGTATTTCTCTGACTTTATATCTGTAATTACCATCAAAGATAATTAATGCAAATTGAAATTACATATGGGCCTCTTGAGGTGACAAGTCCCTTAACAAACTGAGAAAAGTTTCTTATGAATAATTTCTGTGCTTCTTCATTTTATTCAATCCATTTCCAAGGCACACAGTGGCTACAAACTTATATGTTTATAAATATTAGCACTAATTTTATACTGTGCACAGTACATATACTTTTAGATTTATACTAATAACCCATCTTACCAATCAATCCCCCTGTGGTAGTTATTTCTATTAAAGAACTGTACCTCCTCAAAGGTTTTTGGGCTGGGGGAGTTACTAAAGATGGAAGGATGCATAACCAGGAACAAATACAAAGCAGTGGTTCCTGAAAAGACAATAGAGGTTTAGAAATTAAAGAAATGAAAACAAAGTTTCCTACTATTAGCATTTCAAAGTCATTAATAAACTAAGTATTGTAATGATCCAAACAGATACCTATTAGTACTCCTTGAATTAAACTGAAGCGATCACCAGCATTTTAAAAGAAGCAAATTCTAAAAAACTGGAGATAAGTATAATGTGACAAGAAGAGGCCCACTGGGGGGACTGTTTGACCGCATCTCTATTACTGATTTGGTTTGTGACTTTGGCTTTTAGCTTCTCTTTGTCTTGGCTTTATCAGTAGAAAATCACCTGCCTTGCTTATTTTATAAGCTTTCTCTAAGTATGACATGTCATATTGTGCCTGAAGTTATTTTGATATTAATAAAGCATTATATAAAGGAAAGATATCATTGTTTCATATAAGATATTACATCACCAAAACCAGTACTTGGGTTCTCCTCTAAAGTTCTTCCTGAGGCCCAAGAGAGCTTGTTAAATTTGAGACAGAGTTTAAACTTTCAATGAGTTTTTTTTAAATTTTAATGTACTTCTAAAAAGTGATGTCAGAAATCATTTTTTTTTTTAAATGGTGTCCTTTCTCAGTGACATAACTTATAAAATCTGCAGTTTTGGATAGAGAATGGCATATCACAGGTGCCCATATAGATTTGTGACTATTGGGAATCAAGGGTGTGATGTCCTTTTCAAAATGAGCAGTGTTATAAACTGTAAAATTAGTATGTTAGAGCCTAAATTATGGGCTAAAGGGTATAGCTTAGATTGCACAAGAAAAAGTAAGGCCATTTGAGTTCAGTTTGCCTAAAATTTAATCAGGTGTCTGTAACTGTAACTGTGTTTATAAAATCATAATATTTCTGGTCCATGTCTTCAGTATTCCTAAGATTCTAGTTTCTACTTCTCTGCTCTAATGCAATTTACATTATTATACAATCTGACGGAGAGGGACCTGTTAATTATATTCCAGGTCAATAGCTAGCAATGGTCTTCAGACACAGCCTTATAATATTTTTCTCAGTTGGAGAAATCACTGTTCTAATTTTGCTTAGTAATAATGTCATGTTGCCGTCCATTTTAAATTTTGAAAATTCTTATCTCTCTGACAAGCTTTATTTAATGTTGTATTTAAATCTAACATAGCAACTCAACAGAAAAGTTGTTAAAATAACTCTTTCAATAGCAAAATTGTCTAAAACAATGAATTGAAAGAGGCCTTGTTCCTAGATTACTATCTTTGCCAAACAATGAACATTTTATCTGTATACATGGGTAACTATAGGGAATGAAACATAGTAATCTATGTTATACAAAATAAAAATGTTCTTCACAAGCTTGACCTAAAACAGTGGTTCTCACACTTTAGCATGCCTTAGATTAACCTGGAAGGCTTGTTAAACAGAGAACTGAGCCCTATCCCAGACTTTCTGATTCAGTAAACTTTGAGAATCATGACTTAAAAGAAATGTGGAACAAAATCTAAGACTTATTGGAGGAAAAATGTTCCATACTTGAAATCCAGAATAGAATAAAGGTTTCTTGAGCATGGTCTTTAGAGTCAGGTAAATTCTAGGATCAGGATTTTATTTCTAACACTTACCAATTGTGTGAATGTGAACAAAAATATCTAACCTGAGGCTTAGTTTTCTTATTTGTGTAGTGGGGGGAAAAATACTTAGCTATCAGGGTTTCAGGAGGGTCAAGTAAGATAACTTATATGAAATACTTAAGTAACTTCATATCTCAATATTAGTAAGGTATTTATTTAATTTTTATATTTATTTATTTACTTGAGAGAGAGAGAGTGCATGTGGTGGGGAGGAGCAGAGGGAGAGGGAAAGAGAGAATCTTAAGCCTAGCCCTGAGCCCGACACGGGGCTCTACCTCACAGCCCTGCGATCATGACCTGAGCCAAAATCAAGAGTCAGACACTTAATGGATTGAGCCACCCAGGCGCCCCAAGTATTTTTTAAAATAACAACTTTTATGAGATAAAATTCAGTAATGTGTTAAAAACATTGAAAAGAATAAACTCTTTGTGAGGATAGGAAGTATGACCATTATAATGTGAAAAAAGAAAACAGATTAATTCCTTTCTTAGATCAACTGGAAACATTCTTTTCTGAGTTTTATTTTTAAGAATTGTATTAAATCATGTTGTTTGCTTTTAATAGCATGACCAGCATCAATAAGACAAACTGAAAAAATAGATATCTAATTGTTTACATAGTCAGTAAAAGGCATAATATAATTTTATCAGTGGTCAAAAAATTGTTAGTTTGTGGTTTCTGAATTCTGTCTTTACCTTCACATATTCTTGGGTCTGAATAAACTGTCCTGTGTGTGTGTGTGTGTATAAAACAACCACCTAATCATAGACACACCCATTCAAATAACCATCCATAAAGCTTGTTTTATTTTTTGTCAGTTTCAACACTAAAAATATTTGAATATGCAGAAGACTATACATCTATGCAAAACTATTCAGAAAAATGCCTTTGATAAAAACTGAAGTTAAAATGAAGTTATTTATTTTTATGAAACTGATCAGAAGATGTTTCTCCATTTAAAAAATCAATTTCATAAAATATTGCTATACATAGTAACATGGATGAATCTCAAAAGCATTATCTTAAGTGAAAGAAGTCAAACACAAAAGATTGCACATTTTATGCTTCCATTTATATGACAGTCTAAAAAAAGCAAAACTACAGTAGCAGACAGTAGTTTCCCGTGACTGAGGACTGGGAGGGGCATTGGCTGCAAAGGGATGTGGATGGAGAAACTTTTTAGGGAGACAGAAATGTTTTTTTTTGTTTGTTTTTGAGACAGAAGTGTCGATGTTGTGGTTATGCACAATTGTCAAAATTGATCAAAATTTGTGCTAAAATTGGCAAATTTTATTGCATGTAAATTATACCACTACAAAACGGGAAAAAATTTAGTTTCTATAAAAAGGACATAAAAAATTTTTCTTCCAAAGGTAAATGTTATATACAATTGTAATGAAACATTTGGAAACCCAGCCGAGTTTAAGATGGCAAGTAATGGTTCTGCCATCTAACCCTGATTTTAAAATGTCTGCACATCTAACAGGAAACAAGAGGATGCACTTCCTGCAGGGCTTTCTGAAGTGAATTTGATATGCCAAGCCTCAGAGAGATGTGATCAGTAATGACAGTGGGAGTTCCTGAAGAGACTTCAGTTTCAATGTTTTTCTCTTCACTTTAAGTAGTCACTTCTCTTGACTTTAAATAGATACAGACAAATGAAATAAATAAGGATGAGAAAAGGTTTTACCATATTTGTTATTGTTTTCAAATTGATATTGGCAAATGGGACCAAGAGAAAATGAATAGGCTAAACTCTCTGTGTACATTACATAAAATCTTCCCCAGTTATTTTTGGACAAATGAGGAGAAGGAAGGTATTCCCCTCAGAAAGGCATATTGCTGAAATGGCTGTTTTCTGTGAAGCCAGAATCCAAGAGCCCCAAATAATTTATCATGCAGGATACAGCATGTATGTCTGGCATTTTAAAGTTTCCACTGGGCTTCATTTTAATACCGATTCTTAAAGAAACAAGAAGTTTATGGGGAAAAAATTGCATGCCAATTTAAGAAGAGGTGCAAGATTTCTCCTGGGGGTGAATAAATACCTTTGTTAGCACAAAGTTTTGTTTATGTCTGGAATTCTGCTTGTCAAACATCCTTTCGATTTTTAGAAAATAGTCATCTCTGCAAAAAATAGTTTAGAAATAAACTATATCAGGAAGAGTCTGTTTTTCTGGAAGGGATTGATTATAAAGAGTTATAGATACTTATATGTGTCTATCCTGACTTTTGATGAAATCCTGTCAGTCACTTTCTCAAGATGTGATTCGTTTTGATTTTAGAAATGTTAACAACACCACCTTTCAATTCAGGTCTTTGGAAAAAAATTAGCATTTGCTACCAGATTGGCTGTTAGATATTCAAACCACATGACACTTATTTTCATCTTTTTCACTTAAAAAATTCCTTGACAAGCATTTAAGTACATTATCAAGCTAAACAGATTATATCAGAGAACAAAATGTGTTATTTATTCATCAGTATTTATAGGATTTTGAAAACTCATTGTGACTAGAACTTACTATCTAGTCATCGGGAGTTTTACACTGTTTGGTTAATCATAACAAAAAGCTCTCACCAGTTTTCTGGGGTCCTATTACCAAGAATTTTGGTAAGCGATCACAGGTTTTTTCTTTCGACCAAATGTCTCTGTGGCGTTTGTCATCACAAGGATTCTAAATGGGAGAAGAATATAGAGATGTGTTTTTTTGTGAGTGTCCATTGTGTGCTAGAGTTTTTCAACTTTTTAAAAAAGATTTATTTATTTATGTTAGAGAGAGGGAGAGAGAGAGTGGATGGGGGAGGGGCAGAGGGAAAGGGAGAGAGAATTTCAAGCAGACTCTCTGCTGAGTGTGGAGCCCAACCTGGGACTTGATCTCATGACCCTGAGATCATGACCTGAGCCGGAATCAAGAGTCAGATGCTCAACCGACTGAACTACCCAGGCACCCTGAGTTTTTCAACTTCTGTCCTTGAAAAGATATTCCAGGAAAAAAAAGCCATGTGGCTTCCTTTAAACGAAGGCCTTGAAGTGGCATCAGTGAAGCTTTTAAGTAATTCCTTTCCATCCTGAAGTTGAGTGTCTGCTGAGGGGTTGGGGGAGAGGAGGCATTTCCACTATGGCTAACAGCCTCACAGCACTGAGGATTTAATATTTTTTTCTGCTTTTGGCAGTTCTATGTCTTAATTGTGCGTGCGTATGTTTGAAAACAGTGAGCTCCAAAATAGTGCTGGGCAGAGGCTGTGTTTCCTGCGAACGTAAAAGAAGGTACACTCTCACCATTCAATAAGTAACTGAAATATAAGGTGTAAGATTTTTATTCTCAATAACTTTGAGCTATTTTGCTGCGCTTCAAAGAGGTACACATCTGGCCATAATAATACTATTTAAAGAGATAGCAGATCCCTTCAGTAGCCTTCAGAGGTCGGTAAATGTATATGTAAAACTATAACTTTACAGATTATGATGCTAAAAAGCACTAAATTTCAGCAAAAGAGTAAAATGAAGGTGAATTACTACCTTAGGGATCTTTTTATGTATAGTACATGAACTAAAACCACTATGCAAGATGGATCTAAAATATCCTTAATTTCAACTGCGAAGTGCACATTATGTAAAGAATTGAAGTACCCTTTAATACTATTTCAGATATAGCAATCAGGACAGTACTCTATTTCTATTCAATTAATGCTATAGGTGTGTATGGTTAAATAAACTATTTACAGTAAGCAACAGAGTAGTTAAAACTAAAGTGAGGGTGTTCTTTTTGGTTGTTGTTCTGGAAAAAAGTTTTCAAACCTGTCACCTGAAATAATAATGACTTCAGTTTAAAAAATAAGGTGTTGAGGCACCTAGGTAGCTCAGTCGGTTAACCACCTGCCTTCAGCTCAGGTCATGATCTCAGTGTCCTGGGAGGGAGCCCCATGTCGGGTTCCCTGCTCAGTGGGAGTAGGCTTCTCCCTCTCTCTCTGCCCCTCCCCTCGCTCATGCTCTCTCTCTCTCTCTCTCTCAAATAAATAAAAACTTTAAAAAAATATAAGCTGTTAAATCAGCAGGAAAATTGCATGTCTTTCAGTGGCTTACATTTGGTGATATTTTGTAGTGGTTAAGAAAAAAAGTAATATGTAGTGATAATTCCACAAGCACCTTCTTTCACATTCTAAAATGTGTAGTTATATCTCTTCTTGAAGTTATCTGTTTGTGGTCAGGTGGTAATTAGCTTACATTCAAAGCCGAATGAGTTGTATATAGTTCAGAGCTTACTGCAACTTCAGTCTGTGAAATTTACTCAGTTCCACTTCTGATGATTGTTATTATTGTACCATCAGCTCTGTTAGTAACTCTCTAGTAGCTCAGTAACTGTCATTTAGAATAGTGATTAAGAGCACAGCCTCTGGAGCCAGAAGGCCTGGAACTTGCCTAGCACACAACCTGTTTACCACTCTTCTACTCTTTTTAGTCGACTGCAATCTGTGAATTGATCCCTCACTCCTGACTGAAAACATTATATCCATTGAACCCCTCGTTGAGCTTTCAGAATTTCATAATTCCTAATGGGCATAGGAACAAAGAATTTAGTCCACTATGATGCAATAATATAAGACTGCAGTTCGGGGCAGCTGGGTGGCTCAGTCTTGCTAAGCATCTGCCTTCGGCTCAGGTCATGGTCCCAGGGTCCTGGGATCAAGCCCTGCATTGGGCTCCCTGCTCTGCGGGAAGCCTGCCTGCTTCTCCCTCTCCCACTCCCCCTGCTTGTGTTCCTGCTCTCGCTATATGTCTCTCTTTCAAATAAAGAAATAAAATATTAAAAAAATAAAAACTCCAATTCAGGAAGTAGTTTCTCAAATCTACTAACATTTCCAAAATGTATTATTTTTTCCCTCCAAATGTCTTCACTTTTCAGATTTGGATTATCTCATAGAGCTCCAAGATATGTTTATGGGATTAATTAGTTATACCAATTATTGAAGCAATATTACCTGCCAGAGAGGGTCTTTTTGATCAGGAAAGAGCTCAAAATACTTGTGAGCCAGCTGTGCTGGAGGCAGAGTCTGAAGTCGCAAGTTGGTCCAGCTCTGCACGAAGTTGGCCAGATTAACAAATGTATATAGTCCCAGGCGGTCATTCCCATAGTTCGACAAATGCGTCATGAAAATGCTGATCTGAAAAAGGCAAATGGACTTCAGTGTAAACACAAGTTATTTTAACCCTAGGGGGCAGTGCAATCATAGCAATGCTAGTTTTTCTTCAGTAGTCTTTGCCCAGGGTTTCCGTTCATGCCGTGTTTCTGAATTGTGGACATATCCCAAATACTCTGATTATATTAATGCATATTAGAGGATCTGTTATTAATAAGACTTGGTGAACACTTTTTTTTCTGAGATTTTAATATATTTCATAACAAAAAAAAAACACACAAGTCCAACTGCTATATATCCATGTTGGTGCAATTAGTTTGATGCTGAATAACATCCTAGATCCTCACACATAATGGCTTCATGACATCAGTGACCTATTCATAATTTGTGGCAGCAGAATCTCAGGAGATTGGAATTTTATAATTTCAATCTACTTAATTTGGCTTATAATATAATATTTCAAGTTAAAGAATACAAATGATCAGTGTATCACCATTATCAGCATGAACTGAATATCCTCTAATTTGTATTTATTAGAGGCCGTTTGTACCATCAGCTCTGTTAGTAACTTTCTAGTAGCTCAGTAACTCTCATTTAGAATAGTGATTAAGAACACAGACTCTGGAGCCAGATGGCCTGGAACTTGCCTAGCACACAACCTGTTTACCACTCTTCTACTCTTTTTGGTGGACTGCAATCTGTGAATTGGGACTAAATTTTTGCTAAAATAAGTATTAACTATTTTCCATCAATAACACTCTCAAACCCAATTCCATAGTCATTGGGTCTATTATTTCTAATATCAGATACCTCCTTTAAGACAAATTTTCAGTGTTTAGCTAGATAAAATCAACTCTTCCTATGAAAGCAACTGACCTAGATTGAATTCATGCATTGAAAACAAAATCACAGCATTTTCTCCATAATAAAGTAAATTTAAATTCTGCAGGTTTGATTAAATTGGTCTGGAATGTAGAATGGGTTTTTTAGAAGCTATTGCTTCAAGTGAATGCAAATAGTTTTTATTGGTGAAGTGTTGACAAATGGAAATAATTCTGCATGAGATTTTCAATGGCAAAGAAACCACTGTCACATTTATGCTGCTATAAAAAAGATCATAAAAATAATTCATGTGATAATAGTACTTTCCTAAAATATATAATGTCGTGTGAATGAATAGTAATAATAGTTATTATAATCATCATCATAATGAATATAATAGGTTCATTCATTAGAGACTGAAAGAAATATTCAAGGAAATTTTATTGAGGTAAAGTAGCAGAGAAGAGAGAATGGTTATATTAAGATTTGATACAATGAACCAGAAAAAAATCTAATTACAACTATGAATAAGAAGAAACAGTGATATCTTTATTCTGTAGAATAAGTCCTGTTGGCTTTTATATGAAAAGCTTCAACTGTGATCAAGAATATTTAATTGTATTTCTATTCACTCTGCCTGAACATATATTAAATCCTAGAACTTTCACAAATAAAATACTTTGAGGGTGACTTTAAACAGCTACCAGTGACTGATGCAGTCATGGAATTGATAAACAAGACTTTTACCATACTGGGTATTTCTGAAAAATGAGACTTCTAAAATTTAACCTTCTGGTTATTTTTGTAGTAGCTTCGATTCTATGACTTTTGTTTCCCTTTCTTTTCTCCTCCAAAATTTATCAAAAAATCACCTATTGAGAGACTCAAGACAATCATGTTACATTTGAAAGTTCTTTTCTAATGTCTGTTAGAGGCAGTCTTTCATCATTTGTTTTATATGCCACATTTTTCAGTGCAGCTCAACAACAACAGCAAAATACTTCAAGTTGCTTATTACATGAAAAAATTTTAATACAATGTAACATATATGTTAATCCACTTAGGCACTAGTTTATATTTCTTGCTTTATTTGTGAGAGATTTATTAATACCTCTATGTGTCTGTATTTCACTTGAATAGCATCTGCATTGGGCATAAAATGGGAAATGTGGAGATACTGTGTGACTTTGTGATACTAATACCTTTGAACTCCCTTTGAGTTTACTTTTCAACCCAGAAAACATTTTACTCTGTGACATTTAAAGCAGAGTGTCACTGTTTTACCCGTATGAGTATAGAAAGTAAAAAAATGCTACTCTGTCTGCTAAAGACAGAGGCAATCCAGAATGAGTTGTGAGCTAGTTAACGACATTGCTTTGCTGAAAGTTAACCTGATCGGCAAGAATTAAGGCAATACTTAGAAGGTGTTGAACTTAATCCCGTAAGATAAAAGCTACTTAGCCACCAGCCATGGAACCTTCCCCAGGTTTTCAACTCTTTTTTTGTATATCTACTTTAACATAATTCAAAGTGCACCATAAACAAAAGGACTGTTTCAAAGTGATGGCTTTGTAGTGTGTGTTACCTCAAGACATTTTCAGACTTTGGACTCAAGCCTGAGATTTGTTTTGTTTTTCTAAGAAATACAAAGCCATGAAGGGGATATAATTGTTCAGGACATAAAATAATTTCTTTTTAAATTTGTGTGTGTGTGTGTGTGTGTGTATCACAATATTCTCTCTACACAATGAATATTCTATATCTCTAGCTGAACATGTAAACTCTCCAAGTTTTATTAATTTTTAGTTAGGAAGGTATGCACAACAAACAACAGGACTAGTGAGAACAGACATATAATGACAAAGTTCAAAGTTTTGGTAAAATAATTAGTTTGCTTTTCAGACAGTATTTCTTTCTTACTCCTGTTATGACCTATGACAACTGTAATGTCACTTTATTTCTTGGCAACAGTTTCTGCTGGAATAGAAAGAAACAAGGAAGCTTGAAAGAGTTACCAGTTCAAGGAAAATAGATACTAGTCTTTCCCTAGAGAGGATGCCTTTATAATTTTAAGGGTGCTTCAGAACTAAGGATTTGTTTGTTTGTTTGCCTTTTTAAAAAGGATAAATGTGTCAAAATAAATTATCTTTATCATACATGTAGAATCCAATAAGAAAGAAAATGTCAAAGAAGTTACAATTGCATTTCTACAACACTTTTTGCTACATCCATACTCTAAGTAATTAGTTGTTACCAAAAGGACTAATTAGCTGCTTAAAACTCAGATCAATGGAAACTCTGCCAAAGATATAAATTTTATCTAACGGTTGAAAACAATTCTTTCTAGCCTAATAGATACAGACACGTATAACGACATACTCACTATGATTATTTTTCTGTAAAAAGTAAAAGCTAAATGCCAAATATCATATACACTGGTATTTATGGGAGAGGAAACAGATTATCATTTGTAAAAGTGTGGCTAAGAGAAAGATGTGGGCACTCACTTTATCTCACTTTCTAGCCTCAACCATGTGAACCTAGTAAGTTCCAGGTATTGGAGATGCATGAATCGCTACCAAGAAGAATAAGGAACAAAACATGGGTCCTGGTGCAAAAGCAGTTGACAGTGCAGTAATCTGTTTCTTTTGAGGTCAAGGGGAGGGGAGAGTAAATAGGGGTATAAAAAAGTGTGTTACTTCTACTAATTATTATAAACTATGCCATTTATGACCAAATCCACAAACATTTTTCTTAGCCTACTGCCAGATGCTCTGCCTGGTTCTGGTGTGAAAATATAAATATATGATGCTCATTCTTGTAAGTATTGTTTGTGGAAAAATGCAGAATTCAAAAGGCACATAAGAATTTACAGTGAAAAATGTCAGCCTCCCACTCCTATCCTTCAGCCAAGCAGTTTTGTTTGGGTATCCTTCCAGGTGAGCAAATATTCAAAAGCCTGAACATATATAACAGATCCCCTAGGAAGTTTATAAGAGTTCAGATCCCCAGACCTTACACTCAGTGATTCTGATTTGCTAGGTCTGGAAGGTGCCCTGGTACCTGCATTTTAGAAAATCATTCCAGGTGTCTTGATGCAGGTACCACTGAAATACAGTTTGAGGAAAACTGGCCAGAACCATTGTTTATTCTCATAGAAAAGATTCCATTTGCCAAAAGTCATTGGCTTTTCCGTAGTGGTCCTTTTGAATACATTTTAAAAACAAACATGTCCTGTTAAGTCCGTAAGTGTATTTTGATGTCCTAGACTTAGAGCTATCCCTAGCTCAAAGAACAACTTGGTAAGTGCTCTTGGCCATGCCTTTTGAGGGCTTCTGTACTGCTGACATACATATGTGGATGCACAGAAAATTGTTAAAAAAGAAAGAGATCTGGTCCATATAGACATGTGCAGTTGGTTCCTAATTCCCCTTCAATCCTGTTTATTATTATTATTATTATTACTATTATTTTTTAACCCAAGCAAAATTCTTCTCCATTTCCACATGTACCTCTCAGATGCATATTACCTTATAACTTCTCCATTTAAAAGACTGCCTTGCCTATTCATTTTTACTTTATTTCATGGCATTTAAAAATGTGTGGCAGAGGACAAGCATACTGTAATTCTTTGGGGGAAAATAAGGAAAACAGTTTATTTTTATGGGGTAGTGATCAAACTTTGGAAATCTCATTTTTATTATCATGAAAAATATATGAGTCCCACCACTGTCAAGATTGTACTCCATTACATAAGCACATCTCCTTCTGGAAAATAAAAAAAAAAATCTTGATTAAAAGGCTATTCTAATGATGCTCTGGGCCTGAGCCTCCTATTCTGTAATTTCCCAGTTTGAACCCACAAATAGTTCCTCATTACCTTCTGAGTTAAATAAAATTCAGGATGTCATCCTTAGTGACGACATGGTCCCAAGTGACCTTTTAAATCTTCCCTTGCATCCTCTTTTTGTTCCTCGTGCACCGGTCTTCTTACTGCTCCCGGGGCTCCCTGGTCTTGCTGACCTCCACAGCTTTGTTTATGCACTTTCTTCTCTCTGTATTCTTCTCCCTATCTCAATTCTATATATCCAGGCTGTTATAACTACCTCTTCAGATCTCTCCAAGCAAATTCAATCTTTTAACAATATGAGCTCCAGGGGCGCCTGGGGGGCTCAGTTGTTAAGCGTCTGCCTTCGGCTCAG